TGTACGTGGATATTTATTATGTATCATGTACAGTGCTTGCTTTATGATTGTAAATTAAGTTATCATCATGAAATTTGTATCTGCATAATCCCCCAGTTTCATGAAAGAGACCGACAACACACCGCAGAGTAACAGAGTATGAAGTTATGTTACACCAAATGACCAAGAAGAGGTTGTTTTGGAGCTTGATTTAAAGTCAGTTTTGATGGTGTGACTGTGATATAAATATGCATGTTAGAAGAAGAAATATATATTTCTTCAACATATGATCCAAAGAATCGGATAGCCTCTGAAATATTAATATGCATCCATCCCCCAACTTCTTATCCCATATTTCTTGTGTAGAGTTCTAACAGCATAACAAATAAATTTGCAAGATAAAAGTATTTTGATTATTGTAAAATGCAAGATATGGTCAGTAGATTTGTGTCAATCGAAGCACCATTTGACACATCCTCTTTTAAAATGTTTAATGTCAATTAAACTTAGAAATGAATTGATTGATTGAATTAGGACATTCATAGTACTATTCTTTAGGGATGTGCTTGTATTTTTTATGTGATGCATGTTTAGATGACTTGTAGTTTGTCAAAAATATCTGTATATCTTTGCATTTTTGAACATGATCATAACTTATTCCTTGTGTATCTCTTGTGGAAATGTAAATAATTTTGTCAATTTTTCAACTACTATAATGCATTCTTGCCTTGAAGATTCACTTGTAGACGTGTACATGTTTTTAATGAAATTTCTAATTAGAATTTTCAGGTACCCAAATAGCGGTAACACATTTACACTGATAAATGTAGTGTCCATTATAATTATGTATGTAGTAAAATATACTGTAAATATTACAGTTCAATATATTACAAAAATATATTTGTAAAGATAGATTATGATAGAATGTATGGAAAGTAACTGCGTTCTTCTTGCATGTGTTTTTTAATGAATTTATTCAACTCAACTTTTTATGTTCGTAACTACTTAATCTCAATTCTTCCATTTTTTTCTCTATAGTGGACAATTTTTTTAAAGGTTAAGCAAAGATCTTTTATCCCTTCGGAACGATAAACCTGTACTTCAAAAACGTTCAGTACCATTCTACTGATTTACACTTTTATTACAGTTTAAATTTTGACGTCAAATGTTTAGGGTTAGGATACGCTCTTCAATTTCTCTCCTTCTCCTACGAATGAATAAGTATTGCAACCAAAACTTATAATTATATCATAGATTTTTAACAAAACTGGTGCTTTTAATTTTGCACTAAGTCAAGGAAGTGGAAAACTAGGAATTACTTTGTGTTTCAGCTTGTGAATAGTCAGTAGTGGTTATTGCAAAAAAGTGTGATTTCTATTTTTCAGCGATCAAAAGTATTTTTTATCCATTTCTATTGGGAAGAGGTTAAATGAACATTTATGAGATCAGTGTCCAACTCTATTACACACCAGAATAATGTAGAATGATTGTTCCACCATGAAAGTTCATTTACCTATTAATCATGACGAAAACTCGTCGTTTAAAATTGAAACCCCCATTTGACTTTCACCATTTCTACTTGTACTAGAGCTGAGATTGTGATAAGCCCTAAGTAAACACTAGCGCTGTAATCCACCCCCACCGAGACCTTGATGAGGTGATAGCGAGAGAGAGATAAGCATGATACAAGGGGAAAGGAAGGGAGAAGGGAGAAAGAGACACATGCAGGGGTTCGCTGCCAAAGTTAAAATTGTTGTTATATCGCCAATTATGGGTCATTTTGCTTCGTTCGAACTTTCATTTTGGTCTTCATCTAAATTATTAGTGACTTTAGGACATGAAAATATCTTAAAACAAGTAAAATACTTATTTCCTACTTCTCATTTCCTTTCAGGCAGACCCCAGTAAGAGTTTGTTTACACTAGTATTACGTAAGATGATGTAGAGTCCAGCTGCAATCCAATATCTTAATCTCTCACTCAAAGCCTCAAGGCTCTGTCCAAGTTTTTAACGAGAGAATTGAAAGTGGGGTAGTGAGACCCCATCAGATTCCCATTGGTGCCTGTGTAATAGTAGAAGCTCTCTCAAAGTTTTAACGAGAGAAACGAAACTGGGGTATTGCTACCCCACCAGATTACAAAGTTTTAACGAGAGAAACGAATCTGGGGTAGTGCTACCCCACCAGATTACATTGACTGCTGTGCTATAGTGGTGGGGTATAGTTTTAACGAGAGCTTTTCGTAATGTTACCCTTTAAAGCCATCGATTACCGGTACTAAATTCTCATATTCTCCATAGGGTTAGTACAGGAGCCACCCTGTTCCAGTAAGTAATAATGGTAAAGTAGGCCTATTCCTTTGAATAGTCCATTCGAACGTTACTGTTTAATATACATGTACACTATACATTGCCTATTCCTTTGATGTAGAATGTAGATAGAAATCGTTCACATGTAGTCCATTCGAATGCTACTGCTCCAATATATACTGTACATTGACTGTAGAAGCCGAGAAGGGAATTCCCCTTACAGATTTTTCCTCTCTCTCACACACACACACACACACATTCACATGCATGTAGATACATGTATGTATGAATAACCGAAGACTGAAAGAAATACATATATATAACCCATTTGTGTGTTGAAAATGATGAAATGACCACCGTTTCCATGGAGCCTCTTATTCTAATTTCTCATGTGAAAGACATTTTATACTTATATGGTCCTTTTGAATATATATATTCCACATTAAGAGCAAACCATAATCCGATTCTTTATGTAATGATATAAAATGCAATGTTAAATCAGTACCTTTTATTTAAATTTTATCAGTACCCGTGTGCAGTTGATCAGTACAATCTCAGTACACAGTATTTTCATGATTTTTGTATAGAAATAAGGACTACATTCCACACTGAGTATATGATTGTATATGTCCATCTTATTATACTGATTGATATTATACATGTATGTCAACTATTTTAAGTCAAAATAGCTTGAATTAAAATATAAAATTATGCACTATATTGTGGTTTGATGTGTGTATTTGTCATAGAGGTCATGTTTTTTTTTTTTTTTTTTTTACATTTTAGCACGGTGGCATACTTCAGCCAATGGCTGTTCTTCAGCATAGTCGTACATATAAAAGCAATCACAATTTTACAAAGAAACATACAATATAGATTAACATGGTTTACATACAAAGTTAAATAAAACATACACACGTATTCACTTTTTAACAGATTTGCCAGGTAGGGAGAAAAGGAAACAAGGAAAATTTCCCCAATAAAAATAAAGTAGTGTAAAACTAGTTGAAAATTAGTGACAAAACAGCACAGAAATTATTTTTTTTTTACTCTTTTCGACTCTGAATATATTTTTCATCGATGTTTTGTTCCAAATCCTTAGCCTAAACAGTTTTTTATTGGTGTATTTTCCTTTTTTCCCCCCATAGGAAAGTTGTCTAGTTTTCGAGAAAATACCTTAAATATATAGAGGAAATAGCCGAAGTAGGTATATGCTTTTGCAAATGAAAAACGTCCAGGGATGCAACAGGAAGAAAGGCAGAGAGTGAAAAAGAATGAAAAAAAGACAGAAAGGATAAAAGATTAAAGAGAAAGGAAGAGTTGGCACGAGAGATACAGAGAAAAGGTGGGGAATAGGGACAGAGAGAGAGAGAGAGCGAAAGAAGGGGAGGTGGGACAGAGAGAATTTTTTGAAGAAAATCATTAGCAGAGCATTGAGAAAAGAAAATCATAAAATTGAGCATTAAATGTGGTCTAATAATGATATATGTGCAAAATGTGTGCTGTAGTAGGTGAATAATGTTGTTGATAAGGTAATAAGAATCAGTGGAACAAATAAACCTAAACCTTAAATCCCCACTGCACTACTTATAGCAACTTGCGCCCTCTATATAGCAAACGATGCCTAATCGGTGACCATTGGTCCCCCATGATCCTCTTTTTCTTTTGTGAATCGAGAGCTGATTAGATGAGATAACCACCTGTCGATGACCATGCAGGGAGGTCTAATCCCTCCTGGCCAAACTAGTGCAGTTGGGCTTTAAATAACAGAAACACAACAAAAGTATCATTCCGACAAGGACCATTTTTTTTCTCTGTGTAAGAATATTCTTTATTGCAATGTATACAATCTCCTTGATACTCGACTAGCCCCATTCCTCTCTCTTATCTCCAGCTGCCACTTTACAAGGCAACTAGTGACTGGTTAACATTGTATTCTGACGTGAAGTTCTGACAAGGATTTCAAAATGTATTCCATTTCTTACATTTGATTTGATGTGAACAACTAGGCCTGATGAAAAAGTGATGGAATCCACCTAACAATGGGTTCTTCTGCGAAGCCATCTAATGTTAATTATTAAATTTTAATTTTTGTATCTTCTATCTCACTCATGTCGTTCTTTTGTGTACAAGGCAGACCCTTTTAATATCATTTCATTTTTTGGCACTAGCGCACGTTGAGCATTTGATTTCAAGTGAATTTGGTGCCGTATGAATCTTTCATATCAATATTATCATTATTTTAGGCTGACAATGTAAAACAGAAAAATTATGCAGAATATTTGTAGATGAAAGATCTGACATGGGTACATTTTTCTGAAGATGAACTCCTGCATCTGGCTTTATAATATCTTCACATGAAAGACAGTTTGAACTTAGTAGGAACTCTAGAATTAGTTTGTGATATTTTGATGAGGATTCTTTATCCGACGGGACAGCAAGCAGCCGCCCAAGTAATTGTGTGTCAAAACTGAGCAAAGCATTGTGGTGTCCAAGTACCTTTGTCTCCAATATCAGTACTGAAAGCTATTACAGTGTATTGAAAATATGCCATTGATGATATCGAGGGGTCAGTAAGACAAAGAAGTAACTCCATTTTGAGAAAAAGTGGTTTATGTGTCATTGAGCACTTGTGGGAGTTAAGTCTATGTTTCACTAGCCATTGACTTCAATGGGGTGTTTGGTTGAGTTAAGTCTTTGTGTTTCCTGGAAATCCCACATTTTCTGAACATTTTGATACTCATATCAGATACTCATTTTGGCAAAATAAGGAGTTACGTCTTTGTGTCACTGAACCCTCGATATGCAATAGGGAGAATTGCTAACGTTGGTTGCCCTGATTACACAGTTGACAGATGTAACTGTCTTGATTGATATAAGATGTCATTTGATCAAGTCTGCTGGTTAATCTCCCCACCAGTAATTGAATCCTGTAATGTTGATAAAGGCCTTCCTGACTTCATATGAACACATCTCTTCAAATGATGCAATACCAGTAGTCTTACAGATGTTTGGCATGATATCTCCCCACCAGTAACTGAATCGTTTAATGTTGATAAACATCTTCCTGACTTCATATGAACACAGCTCTTCAAATGATGCAATACCAGTAGTCTTACAGATATTTGGCTTGATATCAGAAGTTCATGGAGTTAGCATCCTCAACAAAACTTCGATCTTCCTATGAATAAGCCTGTATGACGTGGGCCACCGTCTTACAAATAGTTACGATTGATCCAAATCGATCGCAAGTTCTCCAATCAATCACAAGTTTGCAGTCTCCTATTTCTTATGTACATAGTTGTGATCGAAATCAATCGCAAATAAGTACAGGGCCCTGGTCAAAAATACAATCCTCTCTTCAAATTGGCAATATATGTTGCCTTGAAGTATTAGGCTTGGTACTAGAAGTCCTATGTTCAGCTCTGCCAGCAGTTTCCTCACCAAAACTTGATTCTTTTAATCTTGATGTTAGCCTCTGTGACTTGCTCTGAAATATCCTCCCCAAGTGGCATCCTACATGGAAAAAAAGAAGAAAAAGAAAAGAGTATAAAAGATATCAAGAGAATAAAATGGGGAAAAATATTGACTGTTCCTCAAAAAAGCAGGCCTAAATAAGTGTAAAGAAACTGAGCAGTTGGAGTGGTAGCAGAGGGATGAGCATGTAAAAATGTCCTTTGGCAAGACATTGATCTACATTTGCCACACTCCACCCAGGTGAAGTAAATGGGAACCTGGTAGGAATTTATTCCTTGAAACGCAGCACGTGGTAACAGCTACACTGCTAAAGCCAGGGTAATTGTGCTGCATTATTGTAGAGCGCTTAGAGACTTCTGATAAAGTAAGTGTTACGGGCTATATAAGCAAATATAATTATTATTATTAAAAATGAGTAGATTATATAATATATTACAAAAACCTGGTAAATCTCTTTCTTTTATGTAGTTCAGTAGAATATATACTAAATGTTTGATAGTTTCTGCGCTCTATAAATGTATTATTATTATTATTAATATTTAAAAAATCATGTATTTATAGAAGGGGCAATAAGTGATATATTTAACCTAGATGCAACAGTACACTTTTTATAGTTTTCTTGCTGCTGTTGCATATTGTGGTGGTGTTGTAACTGCCATTATTTGTGTTGTAGTTGTTAGTAGTGGTGGGTCATGTTGGTGTGTTCGTGTTGATATTGTTGTTGTTATTGTTGTGGATTGTGGTCATGGTGGTGGTGTTTCTGGTAGTGGTATTGGTGTTGTTATTTGTGGTGGTGTGGTTTTGTTGCTTACTTTGGTTGAAATCTTAGGGACTGGGGATCTTCAGCGAAGCCCATATCCAGTCTTAGTCTTTCTACCCCAGCCCATGCTATCATCACTCCATTGTCTGTACACAGGTACGGTGGTGGGCAGATGAGTTTGTACTTGAATAGACTCGTGGTGAAGTCTAGAGCCTTGCGAATGTAATCGTTGCTGGCAACACCTCCAGAAACAACCTGTGGAAGAAAATTGAAATTCATTTTGTTCAGATCTTTGAAGAAAACATCCAAAGCATTAAATTAATTTGAAATGAAAAAGAGCTTTATATCGATAGCATATATCATAAGGCAGGAGTTTGAACAACTACTATTGTAAATAGGTAATAGTGAAATGTGTGATATTTTACCTCCTACAAAGTAAGTCCATTTGAAACCAGTTATTTCATTCTCAACAAGTCAATTCAAAATTTGCAATATTCTTTCATGGGTTGGCACATTTTCATGGTAATGAAAATTAAACCCGATTTAGCAACCACCTGTACAAAAAATATAAAAAGACCACCTATCTTTTAAGATTTAGGATCTAAAAAAAAACCCTCATGACTTTACAAACAAAAGACTACTGTAAACGTGGTAATATTTGCGGTGCTTTAAATTTTGCAGATCTCGCGCTAAAGTTGGTGTCCTCGAATATATATGCATGACTTCTTATGCAAGTTTTGAACTAGCAGAATTGCGTGCAATGCGAATTTAAGAACCTGTGAATATGTTTTGGAATCGCTCAGCGCGAAAAATTAATCACGCAAAAATAACAGTGTTTACAGTATTTGGGTACCTACCAGGGTTTGGTTGCCTTCTGGAATCAATCCAGTCTGCTGACAGTAGAGCATGGCCCTAGCAATCCGGATAACAAGGTGCTGAGTGACTTTGTGCTGGAAGGATGCTGCGATGTCACTGATGGTGGCTAGATGGTGGTCATCAGATGCAGTCAAACCTTGAGGGAAAGAGAGAGACAGAGAGACAATGAGAGAACCGTTCTAGTCCCTGCCACATTTCACTACTTAATCAACCATGACTTCAAGGATAATTTTTTTTCAAAATGAAATTGCAGAACTATAGTACTCAACATGAAATGTGGTACAGTATACACTATACAGTTAAACAACTATATTATCCATACCCTTCCCAAGCTTTGTAATTGTTTAAGTATGTGAAATTTTGATTTGTCCCAATTTATGTTTCTTTAGAATGGGACATAGCAAAGCTTACATCTAAAATTATTCAGCAAAGGCCTGGTCTAACTCAACCAGTCCATCTTTCATTCCTGATTTACAAAAAAAATCATAATAAACGTCAAATTGCCAAGGGTATGAATATTTTAGTTGTTAACTGAACATGCAAGACTTGACATACCTTGTCTGACTTCATGATGTTGTATGAGCCAGTTAGCCATGTTCTTCAGACCAGCAAAGGAGAAGTTACAATCCCTGTGTCTACTCATAGGCACTCCTCGCTCTATTAATAACCTGAAGTTACCATTCTCAGCCATCTTCTCTATCGCTTGGCCTCCGCACAGACCTAGGCAGTCAGGATGGTGCTGCAGCTTCAGTCGTCTTGCAACCTATCAGAGAGAGAAGAGAGAGGGAAGAAGGGACGGAGAGAGAGAGAGAGAGAGAGAGAGGGAGAGAGGGAGAGAGAGAGAAGAGTGAGAGAGAGATTAATAGGGAAAGGGGGTACAGAGGGGATACAAAAATATGAATTATTCATGTTCAGCATAGCATTCTCATCATATTCATCATCGTCATCAGACTTAACATATTTTATACATATTATTGTCATCATTATCATTCATTATTTTCACCAATGTCTCATCATCATATTCATAATTATCTGCAGCATCATCATCATCCTTACCATCAACATGATCATCATAATCAACATCATCAAACTAAGCAATGCAAAGCCTGTCAAAATTTGGACAAAGAAAAACACGCCGAATGTCACAAGATATCATTAGAAAAGTTATTTGCAACTATGCTCATTTCCAAAGACATGAAAGAGTCATGATTTTCTTTCTTGATATCTTACTTTGTCAAGATAATTCACAAGCGCTTAGATTTTCAAACATCACAAAAGGGGGAGGGGGATTTATTACCTTATCAAATGCCTCGCCAGGGGCATCATCCCACGTCACTCCAAGCACCTTGAAATCCCCTACTCCTCTCGCTACAGCCAGGATGCAGTTACCACCAGAAACCAGAAGCACCAGAAATGGGAAATCTACTCTGCAAACATAATACAAGAAACCTGTTAGACTTGTATACATTGATACACATGCACATTACTCGCAAAACGATGGATTTGCGTGATGCGAGAAAAATAGAAACCTAAGTATATGAATTTTATCTTTCTCATATTGTCACCTCTAATAATATCCAAAGTCATTCGGAAGCACATAGTGATATTACCAGAATATAATTATATAAGAGAGTGAGACTCCATACGGTGGATTGGGTAAGAGAATAGTTAAAAGAAAGATATGTACAGCACTCTCCTCTGTACCATTATAAATTTAAGAGCGTGGGCCTCCATATACTGGATGGGAATAAGTGGAAGATAAGTATGGATCTTACCTCTCTACCATTCTAACTGTAAGGGCATGAGCCTCCATATGATGGATGGGTATAAGTGGTAGATGAGGATGGCGGAGCAGCATATCCTTGGTATAGTCCAGACCAACCCGTAACGATAGAGGCATGCCAGGCATGGTGCTTAGTGCTACTGCTGACAGGTCCTAGATGGAAACAAAGAGAAAGGTAATGATAAAGAAACATAAACATATACATCAGCAAAATGAGCTGGCCTCGATAGAAGCTAATAGAAGGTTTACAATGATTTTTCTTCCTAAGCTTACCGTATTTGCTGACGATAAGGCCGCACCGCCGCATAGGCCGCACCCCAACTTTGACATTTCAAAGAGGGTAAAAAAAAACTAAAAAAAACATACGGACAAAACAAAATAATCATAATTTTCTCGAAAACACTATTTTTTTTTTACAAACTGATACCAAATTCATCAATGTTTTTATAATTTACCGGAAGTTTAGCTAAATAAGTGATCACAGGCAGATTTGGTGTCCGATATACCCCTTCCACAATGTACTGTGTAATGCGAAACTGCATAAAATGGAAAAACAAAAAGGCGACTTCGGATGGATGTTCGCGGCAGCTCCGTTAAAAGGGTCCCTTCCTTTACTTTTGCAATGCATTGGCACGAACTTAGATCAAGATCTATCGGCAAATGTTGTGTTAGGACGTTTATTTTCGTCTTTATGTCAACAATGCAAGGTAAAATTGTCGGTAAGATGTGTGGAAATGTCCTGTACCCTAGTGGTATAGTTATTTTACCGTTTCTAGTCCCATATGTGTAAATTCGTGCTGGTTTTGACTTTTTAAAAAAAATTTTTTTTACTCTTTCGTCGTAAAGGCATGATATTTTCTCTTTCAAAAAAAAAATACTGCGGCCTTTACGCCGGCAAATACGGTATACTGAAATTTTTGTCTCCAACTGTTTATTCTCTGGTAATCCTCACAATTCCCTCATTCACTGCTCTTGATATTAGTCTGAATCTTTTTAGAATGAAAAGTTGACCTTTCACCTTCATTTCAATCCCAGCATCCTTGATGGTCCCTTGAACCACGGGGTCAATGAACTGTCGGTGAAGGGCTTGGGCTAGGGGCGGAATGATACCTCCATTCCTAAAAGGAAAAAAAAGAGAGGCATTTTGGATGAAAAAGATGTTTAAAGTGGATATCAAATTGATATTGGATGGAAGCACCAATCAATGTGTAGATAATCATTATGATATTAGCCCACTGTCTCCTAAAACCATATGGTAGCTGTGTTAAGCCATTGAGAAAGATGAAGTTCAGTGCTCCACAGGTTAATATTCCAATCTTGTATAGCCCATAGCACGTTTTGAGCTAACATTGAAATGCACTTCTAAAGACCTATGGGTGAGACTTTCTTCTTTTTTCCCCCTTTTTTTTATGGGGGGGGGGGGGTGGGGTGATTTTTACTCTTCTTACAAGGCAATAAAAACGTTTTCCTTCTGAATAGTCTCCAAACAAAGAGATTATAAAGAAAATTTAGGAAAAGTGTTTACATCATTTGTAATGGAAACATCCTGTCAAAGGAATTACGTTTCTGCACTTGATATAACTTTAATTGTTTGAAAAAAGTGGAATATTCTGTATTGAAGTGAACCTGTATTGAGTGTTTCACAAAGACTAGATCGACTTTATGTTGGAATTAACTATGGGAGGATATTCATGACACTGGTTGCCCTCACCATTGGTTTCTCAAGAGAGGTCACAAATCTACAGAATTCACATTTTTTGATAGTTTATTATTGAAGGACAAAACTTTATCTAAAGATCATAATTTCAAAGGTTAATTTCCTCTAATTTTACATCTAGTTCAAACTTTTTAAGGGCATAAATCTCCTGCCGTAGTTTAAGTCCAAATGAAGTCGATCTCAGTCTTTGTGAACCACCCCCAGGTCTTACTTTGCATGGATCCTCTTCTGTGTATGGAGTCTTTCAGCGAGGACCCTCCCGGTCTCATCCATCACAGCTGCTCCTGTATCATCACACGTCGTCTCAATCCCCAGCACCAGCCTGCTATGACTGTGCCTCTCATGATGTCTGCAAAGCTGCTTGGTCAGGCTGGATAATGATGTGGGACGTCTGCATCTCTGAAGGAGATGCGAAAGGGGCGCTTTGCAGGTAGAGATGGTCGGTGCAAACATTTCGTTTGTCAACTTTCATCCACTTCTGATGATAGATAGAAAATGTTAAAGTAATAAGTAACAGGTAATAATAAGGAAATTTCTATTTCCCATAGTTATACAAAAATTCAATCAAACATGGACCCTGAAAGGATGAATGTAATTGTAGAGTGTCTGAACGATTTTTCAATTAAATTCCTCTTGGATTTGATTGTGATGGTTGGATAATTGAAAAATTATGATACAAGACTCAGGAGCAGATATGTTTCTATGAGTTTATATGACCCTTTTGAAATAAATTATCTATTTCGTCATCAATAACTATATACAGTAGGGGCGCTGATCCGAGAATGAGGATCGTCAGCAACCTGAAAAATAAGGATCGTACCGAAAAATATTGCTGCGGACGTTTTTTTTAACCGGCGCCCGGCTGGTTTCAGTTCCCTGAACCGCGCGGTGGCGATGGAAAAAATGGATTCTGCCTTAGAAATGACCCCAATTCACTGTCTACTTTGATGGGTTGTCCGCCTTCCCGAGGATTTATTGCTCATAACGTGGAAGTCTCCGTATAAAGTCAATGTAAAATGAATCATGAATTGCCATGACAATATTCATATCCATTTTCACTGTTTCGGAGGTAGTTTTCGGCCTAGCGAGACAGTTTTCGGCCACATGTACAAAGTCAATAAGAAGCAAGCAAGCGCGCTGTGCGTTCCCCGCTGATATATAGCCCTAGCGGCAGTTTTCGGCCGGTCCGATGAATGCATGGTAAAATCCCTTTAAAAGACATTGCATAATAGCATATCACATATCACACACATACCATAACATATGCCAGAGTCACTGAGGAACTACATTTGCAATGGAAAATATATCCTTAAATCACATTTTAGCGATTTAATCGGCGGTCCCGCTACCCGAATCTGAAAAACTGAGTATCGTACGCGTATATGTAAGGATTATGGGTAGGCCTACCATAAAATTAGCTGTATTTCAAGTATTTTTCAGATTTAAAGCCCTATTTTGTGTGCGTCGCAAGCTCAAAAGTATCTCATCGCATGTATTAAATCGATGCAGCCGGATACCACAGCGCAGACACGATATCTCTGTCTAATTCAGATTCCAATTTCTGATCACTGCAGAGGTATAGGTCTATATATAGTTTTCGGCACGGTGAGCTCAGGCGTGGGATACCTGCTCCGGCCGCTATAGTGCTATAGAGATCAGCAGGGGAACACACAGCGCTTGCTTGCTTATTGACTTTGTACATGCGTTCGAAAACTACTTCCGAAGCAGTGAAAATGGAAATGAATATTGTCTGATTTGTCATGGCAATTCATGATTTTTTTTCTGGGATTTGTTTTGGTTTAGATCTAGATCTAGTATTTACTTCATGATTTGAACAAGAAATGATAATAAATAGATCTAGAAAGTAAAGAGTAAAAAAATGGCGGTAGTGTAGTTGCGTATCCATTTTTTAGCAGTTTAATATCCATTCTAAATAAGAGAATTTTAACCCAGTTGTTTACTCATTTAAATCATAATCATATAGATTTTCCACCTGAATTTGGATCACATCCAACATCGGGAAGCCTAGATCTACGTTTAGGGCTTCGATGTCGACGTCGTTGCTCAGTACCATCTCTACACTGTAGTCCTGCACCTCAAACTGAAGCTATCAGTCCAAAATTATGCAAACTTCTCATATGGTTTATGGTATCGTGGATGCTCGTAATACATAAACCATTCGAGAAGTCTGCATATTTTTGGACTGATAGCTTCAGTTTGAAGTGCGGAGCTATAGCGTAGAGACGGTACTGAGCGACGACGTCGACATCCAAGCCCTAAACGGAGGCTTCCTGATGTGGGATGTGATCCAAATTCAGGTGGAAATTGCGATAGACCCTAGTCTAGAGTAAAGGAGCCCGTTTTCGGCCACTTAAGACAAAATCCTTTTTTTAGGACCCTTTACTTCCTATTTATTATCATTTTTTGTTCAAATCATGAAGCAAATATTATTATTATTTAAACAACAAAAGAATCCCAGAAAAAAATCACGAATTGCCATGACAATATTCATTTCAATTTTCACTGTTTTGGAGCCAGTTATCGGCCGAGCGTTTCAGTTTACGGCCGCATGTACAAAGTCAATACAAAGCGCTCGCGCGCGCCGTGCGTTTCCGCGCTGATGTACAGCACAAGCGGGCGGAGCAGGTATCCCACGCCGGAGCTCCAGAGTGCTCGCCTGGCCGAAGACAGGCACAGCGGTGATCGGAAGTTGGAATCTGAATTAGACAGAGATATCGTGTGTGCGTTGCGGTGTGCGGCTGCATTGATTTAATACATGCGATGAGATACTTTTGAGCTTGCGACTAGCACAAAATCGGGCTCTAAATCTGAAAAATACTTGAAATAAAGCTCATTTTATGGTACCCATATTTCTTACAGACACGCGTAAAATACTCGATTTTTCAGATTCGGGTAGCGGGACCGCCGATTACATCGCTAAAATGTGATATTTTAGGATATATTTTTCATTGCAAATGTGGTTCTTCAGTGACACTGGCATGGTATGGTATGTGTGGGATATGTGTTATGCTATTGTGCGATGTATTTTAGAGTGATGTTACCTTGTATCCAACCAATCGGCCGAAAACGGGAGCTGGCCGATTACCGGCTCCTTTACTCTATATGATTAGATCTAGAGTCTATGATTAAAATGAGTAAAAAATTGGGCTAAAAACTCCTTTGCTAATGATGGATATTAAGCTGCTAACAAAATGGATACGGAACTACACTAGCGCCCCAAAAATAGGATTTTGTCTTAAGTGGCCGAAAACCCTCTCCTTTACTCTCAGTCTCAGTACAATAACAAGTCAACATCAAAATCAAACCATGCAAACGTAAACTGCAGCTGCATGCACTTTCTGAAGTGAACTTGGCGTTACTTGCGCTTGCACAGCTGTGAAGGTGAATAGTCTACAACAAAATGAAATAGAAATTGAAAATTAGACTACACTCACCAAATTATTTCAGATAGACCCTACAATTATTTTTTCTCACTGTGATGGGCGTGGCTCATCGCATAAACTTGATCAGCTCAGTGCATGCTTGTTTTCGATATGGAGGCATCCATGTTTTATTTTTACTAGTCTACTTCTCAGACCAGGGGACTTTTTGTTATTGTTTTGTATTTGGTTAAAAGAAGTGAATATCAGATGTGTCCATGGAAATTTTCCCAAGGGCAAAAAAAAAGGCCTACATATTTCGATATCAGACAAATCAATAAATAAGAATACAAACAATAACAAATAAAAATACAACTGAAATACAAAAACTCCCCAAACTTAATCGATTCAATTTAGTTATAGACCTATAGACCTGTAGCGGCTCTTACATGCCCTACTTTCACCGTACATTAATTCATGTCTCCAGTATTTTTCCATCACGGTATTTATTTATATTCATTATTCGGACCACGTGTGTTCATTCCTCCAATCGAGCATCGTGGTTCCGCGCATCGTTCACCCCGCGTATTTTCATCACCACGAGGTTTTCTCCACTCCCGCTTACACCTCGGTCGAGTCAACAACTCCTGCTTACATCTCAGTTGAGTCAACACGTTTCTGCATGATTTCTTCTCCGGGCTTGTTTCTACTGTGCCTTTCACTTCTATCGGCACATCTTCACTTTCACTGCCGTGTTCATCGGGCTGCAGTCTTCCAGTGGAACAGTTAAATCTAGTTCCGACATAGATCTATATGGTGCTTGGTTATCCGCTGGGAGCTGCCAGTTTCTTCACCGGTAGTCTTTCACTCACATGAGCTCGACTCACCGCAGCTCATCTAAACATTCACCATCAAAGTTCGGCTCATCAATCGAGCGACTCACCGTCTCAGCACCACTACCGGCTTTGATGTCTGCATTTTCCACTTTGGCCTCCGACATCAAGCGACTCACTGCTTTCGTCATCGAGCGCCACACATCTCTTCTCTTCTCTTCTATTCTCGCCCGAGAGCTCCATCTACATTCATCATCATCACGAGCGTCGGCGACGACATCGCGTTCTTCACGGTTCTTCAACCACGTCAACGAAGTCGCGTTTCCGCCATCAAACCTCACACTCATTTCTCTACAGACCTATCTCATTTGATATTTAAACATTGATTTACAGAAATGTAGCCCCATTAAAAATACAGGGGTAAGAGCCCTTTTTTTTTTCCGTTCAGTTTTTGAGGGAAAATTTTTGCGCCGACTAAGCCGGCCGGTGAATAACCGGGGGGGGGGGGGGGATTTTAAAAAATATTCTTTTTTAAAATTGTTCCTATTTCTTTTTTTCAGGGGGGGGGGGTGTCGGGGGGGGGGGCCACATTGTGTTTTTTGTTTCTAAAAAGGTATATGTTTTGTTACTATCCTATTTTTTTACCGTTTTGGGGGGCTGGGGGGGGGGGGGCGGGCCGGTAAAATCGGCCCGTGGATCCGCGTCTGCTGCTAACCCTGCACGTTTGGATACCCCTCCCCCCCCCCCCGGCCCCGCAAATCATGCTCTAGCGATTACTAAATTGTAGTATCTCAATCTTCTAAATGATTAGTATCCATTATCGTAAGATGGCTGAGTGAGAAACTTGCCAATTAAGTGCATAGCGAGTTAGCGACCACGCTCGACCTTTGGAGTATTTCTTGTTTTTACAAAAATTGCGAAAGAAAAATGATTAACGTCTTGATTGTAATCTATTAATTGATTGTCAAATTTGACCTTTTCCCTTGTGACCTACTCGCCTTGACGCCGTATCAACAACTTTTACCGAGCCGAGCATCGAGGACTTGTTCAAATTTTTAGAATTCCTTGATGGAAATTCCATGATTGTTTTATCGCTAATTGCTTCGTGATGACAACATGAGAGAATATAGAAAGAAAACCGACATTTCAACGTAGAAGGTAAGCAGTTATTGACAAAGACGTCGCGCTGCACTGTCACAGGAAATCACGTAGCGACGGTGGTGGTAACGGACACTTCGAGCAAGTCGGCGGCCTAGTTGGGGCATCCCAGCCGTCGGCAGTCCCACGCCACGCTGTGCTGTGGAGATAGCTGTGTACGTGTGTGAATATGATGTGTGTGAGTGTTGTGCCTGTGGTGTGGCTGAGCTGTGGCAGTACAAATCCAGTTGATTTGGAAGCTCATCATTTGTTTGTTTTGAAAATATTTTCAAGTTAAATTTATAAGAGTAGACTAGTCTAGTTTAAATCTTACAATTATCACAAGCAGTGCTCTCCTGCTTGTCTCAGACATGATTGCAGAACAAAATTATTATTTTATAATTTTTATTATTAGATCTAGTCTAGATCTAGATCTAGACTAGACAGCAATAACCATCTGATTTGGGTCATTTCTTTAATAAAACTGACATTTGTTGTCATTCCCCAATACAGATGGCAACCCAGAGATCTCGTACCGTGCGGGTAAATTAGAGCCACAGCGGAACAGCTTTTCGTTTCCGACATTTCTCCCCCGATTTTCTTTATTTAGATCTAATTTTCTGATTTCTAAATCAGATGTAAATTAGGTCGGTATGTCATTTGTCCTAATTACAGTTTTCAAAATTTGATAACTTAATATTAAATAAATAATTTACGGACTTACTTATATGAATTATCCAATTTGTACCTCAGAACCGCGAAGCAGTACGTTCATGCATTCGAAATATTACCCGGCGGCCGATATATTTCCGGGTCCACCTACCAAAACATAGCCAATGGCCAATCAGAGCACTCGTTTCGTGGGAGTTTGTTGGTCAAGCCAGGCCGACTCGTATGTAGCTACGGTAGCTATTGGACGTTCGAAAAGAAAAAAATTAATATTCATCAACTAAAACCTAGACGGATAATGTTGACGACGAGACTTTCTCGGATTAATCATTAATTTAGGATCTAAATGAGCTAGCTATCGTAAGTCAAATAAGCTATTTATATGTTATTTTTAATTAGACTCTAATTATTGTCATATTGCAGCATGTGTGAGGATGTAAAGAGTGAAAATCTCGTAGCATATCTCATTCATCGCGGTCCTGCCGAACCGAACCATTGGTTCCGTACAGTCCCGATAGGACAATCTTCAGTCTCTATAATCGGAGGTCTAGTGGAGCCAGACGTAGTCTCAGTGGAACAACCGAAGATTAGAGAGACTGAAGTTTTCGGTCTAGATCTAGACCTAAGTTAAAAGTTTACGTTGACATAATGAAACTATAATTATTTAGATTTACGGATACTATCCTGCATTAAGCAGAGATGCCAACTAGTACGGATTTCCCGTAATTTCTACGGGAAATCGGCCAATTACGGGCGGTACGGTTTTCATACCATAAATCCCGGATTTTGCCGATTTCAAAATTAGCACTTTAAGGTTTAGCACGTACCGGTACTTTTGACTATTGCAGCGCAGCCATCCTTGAATCCATGCATAGAAATCCCATAGCGCTTCCGATCGGACAATTTGTTATCTAGCACACCCCTTTCACAGCGCAGGTGCATACATGTGCTTCGCGAGCGGGGGCCGGGTGAAATACCTCTCTTGGCCGCGCCGCTACCGCCGGGCCAGCGCCAGGCCTCGCTACGCTAGCGCCGTGTACACTGTCGGATTTCTCACAGGCTGTCACAGCGTTCGTCGATTTTCGTCGACAATCTGAACTCATGTTGGTTGGATTTAGATATCAATCATCATGTCTTCCACAACTAAGAAGCGTGGCAAGAAGTTACAGACTTTTAAAGAAGAATACAGTAAGAAATGGAAATGCATCGTGTAACACCAACTAATGAACAGGTATGTTACTTTTATTTAACTTGTTGTGCTATCGATCGCGCTTGCCTGCGAGCTGCGCTTGCCAGCGTGCAGAAAAATTTGCGTCGCGCAGAAAATTACGGATTTTGTCTCCAAATTACGGATTTTTAGCCTTACGATTACTGATTTGTGCTCTGAAAGGTTGGCATCCCTGATTAAGTGTTGGTAAATTTTTGCCATTCATGGCCATATGCATGTTCAAGTCTCAAGCAATATATTGTCATAACATTGACAGTTACTGTAATATTGGAAAGTGCAATGGGTATATAATGCAGAATATTCCCTAAGATTATGAAATCTTCATGAGGAACTTCATGTACTTAAAAAACAACTTAGTCTACTGGTAGTTAGACAGAGCCTGCTCTGTGTAAAATACTAAAATTTAAAAACTAATTTGTTGTTCACAAGAAAGATAGTTTGGACTTTAAATTTTACAGTTCTTTTCTGTGAATTTTTTAAATCTAATTTGTTTGTGTGCCAGAGAAACCGGTTAATGAATTGTGAAGAACGTTTATAGTATCAAAATAAACAATGAAATTTGGCTCAATGATTGAAAAATGTGTCTCTTTTTTTTAAAAGGTTTATTGCATTATCGCATAATATGATACTTTTAAATATATATTTTCCTAAACTTGATGCAGCTTTTAAACTTCCTAATCCGGGATCACTCAATGCATGTTACAAAGTATTGTTTGTTTGGAGCTAAAAAGTTGTTAATTAATATATTTCAATGCAGACTTAATGCTCTTCTAGCTCTGAACAGACACTATATTGAGGATTTTTGTCTGAATTTTTCTTCTGTGAATTTCAGGTAATTGTAAAGATGTCAGGCAAGGCAGCAGACACCAACCTCCATGCAGGTGAAGTAGACCCAACCCTTGTGGCCAACGCCACGGCCAATCGCATGGCAGCTCAGTTCTTTGAAAAGTATGACCGATTTGAGGTGCAAGAAATGCTGGCCCAAACTTCCTACCATTGGTTCTTATCACAGGTACATGTATAAAGATTTCATTTATGTACAATACATAAACATGTACGGTAGGCCAATTCATTAACCAATTATTTTCTTTAAAAATAATGGATTGTGGAAGTGGCGTAGTCGAGTGGTTTAAGCACTTGACTTGATACTCAAAGGTTGTGGTTCGATCCCGTACACGATGCTAATGTCCTTTGGCAAGGCATTAATCTTCATTTACTACACTCGAGCCAGATAAAGTAATGAGTACCTGGCAGGAATTAATTCCTTGACATGCTGGAGTGCTGTAATGGCAGCTAGGCTAAAGCCGGGATGATAATAAATGTGCCTCGGAATAGAATTTCTAGATCGACGGTGCTAGAGAAATGCCTATTATTACTATTTATTATAAAACAACATGGCATAGAAAAATAGTTAAGACCCCCTCCCATCTCCCCCCCCCCCCCCCCCCCCCCCCCCCCCATGAAAACAGACAAATACAAGTTGTCTTGTATATATTTTTGTTTCCTTTTTATTTGAAAAGAAAAGGGGAAAGAATTGTATTAAGTATTATGAGTAATACATTTTATTCTCATCCCTGTATTATATTTCAGGTGAGACATGCAGTATTACATTGCTAATCTGTGTCATTCCTGGTTATTGCTATCTTTACTTTTACACTCAATTATCTATGCTGCCCTATAACTTTGAAATTTGTTATACAATGTATACACAAATTGAGAATGATCCTATCTGTTTGGAATGAAATCAATAAAGTTTGAATTTGCATATTAAAGTACTGTTCACATATTTGTTTGTGACTTTTATCAGGATGAGCACAAGCTGCAGGCCGAAGCACCCAACGGTATCATCATGACCAGTAAACCCTTTGATAATAACAACTGCTTGATTCTGATGCCCTTTGACCCCACGGTCGAACCTATTGACTTTCGGCTCATACACCAGATCATCAGGGAACTTGTGATGGGTATCTATGGTCTCAACCAGGTATGTCTCTATCTCACTCTTTCCCCACTTTCTCTTTTCCCTTCTTTTTCCTTTTTTGTTTTACTCTGTTTCTTTATCTCAGTCTCCTCTTCTTGCTTCTTTTGAATCTTTCACTTTCTCTCGCCCTCTCCATCTCTCCCTCTCTCTCTCTCACTCTCACTCTCTCTCTCTCTTTCTCTCTCTCTCTCTCTCTCACTCTCTCTCTCTCTCTCTCTCTCTCTCTCTGAATATTTAACCTTCTACTTCTCTTTCTGATTTTCTTCTTTTTATATTTCAACCCTTTTTTTTCTCACTTTCTTGAATAAATGTTTTCAATTGAAAAACCACTGTATCTCGCTGGTACTTTAATTTTCTTTGCAAAAACTCATCAATATTTTTGTCTTTAATATTTGTCCCTTAAGAGAGAGAGAAAGTATAATTGATATTGATAGTTTGCATCTTGATACTATAGATAGGTTGAAGAAAGGAAATGACAGAATGATGTTTAAGTGAGAGAGATAGAGAAAGATATATAGAGAGAATGATTAAAACATATTTATTTTATTATTTATGTAATTGTAGTTTTGTTTTTAATAAGAAACTATCTTCGTGTTTGTTTTAATACAATGAAATTAGCAGGAGAAGACTTTCCAGCACTCTCTCCAATGATGTTATTAGTTGTTCAAATACAATAATGACTCTTCCCTAACCTTAATGCTAAAAGAAATTCCTTGAATACTGTGAGCGTCGAAATTGGCTGCCTAGCAGAGCCGGGGTAATAGTTGGAGTGCCTTAAGCACCATGCATAGTGGATATGTGCGCTATATAGATATCCAATATTATTATTATAATTATTATCATCAGGTACCATCAATCAGCCTGGAAGCTAACTTTGACCAGAGCACCTCCTGCCAGCTACCACCTGCCTACAATGACACCTATGTGGGTCAGCTCCTAACAAATGTGGACTACATGATGAAAGCATTATGGCACGGGACTTACTTCCCGAGAGATAAACGCACCAAGTTCTCAGAGCGCTGGCGCTCGAGTCTGGACCTCAATGCTGAGGGCGTTCCTGAATCAAAGAAGATCATCCTTACAGAGTTCACATTAGCAGGTGAGTATTGGGTGATCACAGAGGTGCGACTGCCACTTTTGCCCCTATGACATTTGCTCTTCCAACATTTGCTCCTATGACATTTGGCTCCTACAACATTAGCTCCTACGACACAACATTTGCAACTATGACATTTACTCCTACAACATTTGTTCCTATGACATTTGCTCCTATAACATTGTTCCTCCAACATTTGCTCCTACGACATTTGCCCCTACAAGATTAGCTCGTACGACACAACATTTGCAACTATGACATTTACTCCTACAACATTTGCTCCTCCGACATTTGCTCCTACAACATTTGCTCCTTCAATATTGCTCCTCCAACATCTGCCCCTACAACATTTGATCAAGCAATAGATTTGTTATTCTTCTATCATCTGTAACATTTTCCTTTCTCCCCAGGAATGATCGACATCACGAAGGACCCTGACTATGCCACCATCTACGATAAAATGCGACTCTTCCCCATGAGCAAGCACGACGCCAACATCGACAAGCGTCTCTTCATGCAGTACGTCAATGACATGACTGTACAGCTGACTTGGAGACAGAAGACTGTCCAGCAGCACAATAACATGTTTGTGATTGATGCAGCCTATGAGGTCTCGGGAGCACTGAGGCTTCATGAAGACAGGACAGACCGTGATGTATACGAGAGACTGCAGACCAGATTACAGGTAATGAAACTAAAATAGAAGGATTTTTTTTGTTATTTGCGTTGTATAGACATCTAGGATTGATTTATCTTCGTAATGATTGAGATGGGTAGAAATATGGCATGAAAACATGACATTTTGGCAAATTATACCATTCTATATGTTTCTGTTTTATAATAATAATAATATCAGATATTTATATAACGCACATATCCACCATGCAAGATGCTCAAGGCTCTCCAATATTACCAGGCTCTGCTAGGCTGTTGAATTTGGCGCTCACAGCATTCAAGGAATTCCTTCCTACCGGTACCCATTTAACACCTGGGTGGAGAGTTGAAAATGTAGATTAATGTCATCTCAATGTCCATTCCACACCATTCAACATGTTTAAGTTATGTTAATAGTGAGTGCTAACAAAAAGATACCAAAATAGAAGCCTGTGAAGCCTTTGGAAAAATAAAACAAAGAAAGAGCTCATGAAAAGCAAAAAAGTATAAAAATAGCCACAAGCAAATATCATTTTTTATAATGGCAAATTAAAGAAAAACTTTATTGAACAAAACACCATTTTCAACACTGGTTGTGGTATCTTGAAATTGATTCCTACAATGTATGTCGCATTCTTCCTCACCAGGCTCATGTAGATGTGATAGAGAAACACCTGTGCAACAAGGCTGAGGTGCGCCGTCAGATGTCCCTTCTAAAGCTAGTAAGCTTCCTCGTTCCATTCCTGATGGGACTGAGAAGAAAGAACAAAGTTCCAGACATGTCTAGACTTCTACCTCAACTTACTGGTAATTATCGTTTTCCCTCTTTTCTTTTCTTTTTTTTTCTGGGGGGGGGGGGGGGAGGGGGTTAGGTTTTTTTATTTTTTTTAAATCTTGTCAATGATTATTGTTGATTACACAGTGATTGATGAATTGTTATACCTCACCTTTTTTTAATTTACCATTTCTGTAGAGTCGGGTTATAGTTTTCTTTTCCCGGCATCTGTGTGACTCTTTTCCAAATGTACTCTTGTTTTGTATTCACTGATATTTACTGAATAGATAATAATAATAATATCTTCTATTGGTAGTGTCATGATCTAGTGGATAAGTTACTCGACCACGAAGCACGAGGTACCCTGTTTAAATTCCTGCCATGGTTCTAGAATGTCTTTTATTAATTGGCAATACATTACTGTACCTAGTAGTGAAATTACTTGCATGCTTGAGTACCTTATTATTGGGGCTATACTAAAGCTTGGTTATACGATTGCTGAGCCCCCAACAAGAGTAGTATTAATACTGATGATCCTGTCCTAAAACTGCATTAATATATACTGGCTCGGTAACTGTAAATATTTTGAAATGGGACTGAAGAGAAAGAACAAGTTCCCATATATATATATATATATATCCAGATTTCTGTCTCAACTCATCAATGAGTCCAACACAAAATTAAGATTGGCTTTTTGTAAAAAGTGCAACATGGTCTCTTTCTTGAAGTAGCTTTAGAACTTCTCCATATCACAACAATATTTCTTTTGCATGTGACTGTTAAAGGGATCTGGTAACTTTGTCTCAGATTCTGAAACAAAATCCTGGATTCAGCTCATGCTAAATCTGACAGCTGATCACCTGTCAGATTATCAAGATATTTATGATTGGAAATTGAAACAAAATTTTGCTTTTTCCTAACGGTTTTCATAACATTACAGTCTATCGGGGAAAAGAGTACGGTAAAACCGGTCACTCAAAGATTTTTACTCTTTTGAGGCACTTCTTGATCATTTTGAAGTGCGATTTTTTTTTAGGGCTTCAATATTACACCATATCACAGACAATGGTAACATGTAGGGCCGTGCATATCAGATTTAACATTGTTCAATGCTGCCTTTAAAGAATGCCTTGTTTTGTCACTATGTTTTTCATGATAGCCGATGAGTGCAAGACAGAAAGGGAGCTCCCACCTATGATGCTAGCCCCAGACTTCCGCTGTCCAAACTTTGACTTTGGCAACAAGTACTTCCACCTTCATGGAGGTATCCAGATCGACATCGAAGGGGACGACGACATCCTGGAGCCTCCGGAGGTGATCGTCAACCATTATAACAAGATCCAGCTGGAAGCAACAGAGAGATTGGCCAAGCTGACGGAACCGGATACATTCCAGGAGTCTTATCCTATGGTTGTCAAAGAGCTTGGTGGAAAGAAGTGAGTGTGGAGAGGGGGTGATGATGATAATGAGGAGGAGGAGGGAGGGGGTGATGATAGCAATAAAGATGATAATGCCAGTGTTCATCTTAAAGGGATAGATGAGTTCTTGAGTTCCAAGCTGACGGAGCCGGACACATTCCAGGAGTCTTATCCTATGGTTGTCAAAGAGCTGGGTGGAAAGAAGTGAGTGTTGCCCTCTCCATACCCCTCTGGATTTCTCTGAATATGAGGAGGAGGAGGAGGAGGAGGGGTAGGGGGAGGGGGAGGGGGAGAGGGGAGGGGGTAAGGGGAGGGGAGGAGGAGGAAGAGGAGGAGGAGGAGAAGGAGAAGAGAGATAAAGAGGGGGGGGGGGGGTGTGATGATGATGGTGATGATGACAATATTAATTTAGATTTAAAATAATTGAAGACTGCTGATATTGCCCATGTTCTTGAGTTCGTGGCATGCCAGATTAATTTGAGAGATATTTGGTAATGAAAATTTTAACAAGATACATGTAATTTGCTGTAAATGTCTCCAATCTTACTATCATACTAATCCATTATTATTGCAGGTACTATGTGTTCTCCATGGACCTTGAGACCTACTACCCGGTCTCTCCGCCACGCCCGCTCTGGTGTCACTCGTTCTATGAGAAGATCAAGGATCTGAAACCCAAGAGGTTACCCTTGACGGATATCCACATGCATGAACAGTTCAAGAGGAGATACGGCTACCATCAAGCCATCAAGTTCAAGGTCAGTAAATACTCTTTGAGATTTAAAGGTATAGACCAGTTTTGGAAATGCCCCCCCCCCCCTCCTCTCAAAAAACGAAATGGAAGCTCTTATTACCAATCATGTGAAAGAATATGTTTTGACTAAAGACGTGATGATACAAATTCCGCCGGGAAACCGCCTTCTAATTGATATATTTGGTAAATTATCTATCCGGCCTGGATAGATAGCGCGTAGTCCCATATACATCTTTCTGTGTACAGTGCTTGTAACTTTACCAAGACTGGGCCAAATTTTGTATCATTTTTATGATTCCAGAACCTTGCAGTACACACCAATACTTATATGCTAGATGATCAACCTTTTCTGATTGATTCCATAACGTTTCTTTCACAATGCAATCGCATGACTGGTCTTTACCTCCCTTACAAAAAAAATCTCTATGGTACACCATACAAACACCATAGCAAATCTACCATAGATTACCATACAAACACCATAGCAAATCTACCATAGATCTACCATTCATTTACCATAGAACTAATTAAAATAATTGGGACAAATTTATTCATTTATTCAAATTAGGCCACACCTACATATTCTACCATAGAGCCACCATTCATATACCATAGAGCCACCATAGAGTCATCATTCATTTACCATAGAGCCATCATTCATCTACCATAGAGCCACCATTCATCTACCATAGAACCACCATTCATCTACCACAGAGCCACCATTCATCTACAATACCGCCCAGAAGTTATTGGGCATGTTTTTGCGGGGCGGGTTTTCCCCGATGGGTATTTCACGATAAAATCACGATAAAACATCGATGAAATACTGATAGAATCACGATAAAAATCACGATAATTTGCACACTAGTGAATGGTTTCCTCTATCGGGGGATGCGCGTAACCCCCCTAATCCCCCGATAGTCTATCGTGTTTCATGGTGCGCGTATTTGCAACTAGTCAAGTCATGTCCTCTGCAAGCGCATGTCTTGCTCATCGCGCGCGCTAAGTCTTGATAATTTGTACGCGCAGTTCCGTATGTGTCTTTGTTTACGTCACAATAGAAAGTATTCACGAGTAAACATTACACACAGTTAAATACTAGTAAAAGCCGTCGCTAAATCACTGACACTGGGCGCGGATAAGCATCGGGTACTGATGCGGTGAAGCAACGAGTAGATCTAACTATATTCAAGTTGCAAAAACTTGCATGATTTGCATTCATTGAAATTATAATTGTGAGCACAATACCTTTCATTTTCACTACCATATTTTCTGTTCGCCTACTCCAGATATGCGTATCTCATTCCACAACCATGAAAGTGGTGAATAAATTCAATTCAATTCAATTCAACCTCCACCAAATAAAATAAAAATATTCCCAAGATCGTCGCTTCAGAAAACACGCACGCGATCAGATTCTTTCATTTGCCCTATCAGTATCACTGACAAGACTGCCGTAAGAAGGGTCTCCACCCCTAAAAAAGAAAACGTCCAATCATGGACATTCTTGCCTACTGGTCACGCGTAAAAGTTGCCAGGTGGACTAGTAACCAAGGTTACCAAAACACGCGTAAATAAACATTTTTAGTCGACGGCATTGGATGATTGATAAATAATAAAATCTGTAAAAATGGCATGGATCAATTACTGTAACTGTCTTCGGAGTGTGGATTAGACCAGAGTTGAATTAACAGGAAAACATGTAGGAGAGAGAGAGATAATTGAGAGGGAGGTAGTGTTGAGCTGGATATAGATGAAGATATTATTCGAGAAGGAAAGGAGTTATGATCGAGGTCAGGATGGGGAAAAAAACAAATAAAATGGATAATTATCTACTTAACAGGGTTGACTAAATATAAGTAGGCAAGACACCAATACGTTAGTCTATTTTCCGTACACCTTTCTACTTCCACTCCTTATTCATCGACACTAGACGAAAACGTTCATGGGTGGAGAAATGTGACAAAGAAGAGGGTGAGAGCATGGACCTACGTATTTGGAGAGCAAGAGAGACGAGAGGAAATCCCACTAGTATCTTCACGAGGGGGGGGGGGGGGGACTACACGTAATAGAGAGAGAGAGAGAGAGAGAGAAAGAAAAATGTTTGATGGGAGCGCAGGCTAGCGAAATCATACTAAGGGAGACATTTACGTACATTTACTTTTGAGAAATAAACAGTAGGATTATGTCTGCCACATGCGTTGAGAGCTGGCTCCCCTCGGCTGACACATCGTAAATAACAAAGATAACATTCAATGACATTTTTAACCGAAGATTGAAAACTAGGTCATTCACACCTCTTTTTCTTTTATCATTTATAATTACTTTGTACGATGGCGATGTTAAAAAATAGGATGTTGGAAAGGAAGAAAAAAAGTTGGATCGTAGATTAAATGACATTGATTTGCAAAACTGGAACGATGAAGTTCATGAAGTTCATGTTTCAATTACAGAATTTTTAAACAGGAAATCGGTTTGGAAGAATATATGTTAAAGTTGGATTTCAGTGATAGAACATCTCTTTATAAATATCGATGTGGTAATAGTAAGCTGCCCTGCCGTCTGCACCTGACCGTCACTAAAGTCAGCCTCTAGAAATTGTAGAATTGTGTTCCATATGTGATCTCAAAGTACAAGATGATGCATTTCATTATGTTCTCGTATGTCCAGCCTTTGGCTTTGATTAACATTCGCAATTATTTGTTAAGAGATAGTTAGTCAATTTAAGATTAAGAATTAAAACAAACCTTTCAACCTTTTAGATTCATTCATGGTTTGCTGCTTCGCATTAGAATATGATATAGATTTTATTTTTAAAAGCAGACCCGTATCACTATCATTCGCGAAGTTGTGTTTTATTTTTGTGGACATTTTTACAATAATAGCTCCTGTTCTAGTCCCTCTAACGTTTATTCGCGCTAATAATATTTATAATTAATTTGCCTGATGTTGCATTCAATTCATTTATGGTTTGCTGCTTCGCAATCGGATATAAAATAAATGATAATTTTAAAAGCAAACTCGTATCATTGGCGACGCAGGGGGGGGGGGGGGGGGTGTGGAGGGGAGAAGAAAAGAAAAGGAAGGAGGGGAAAAGGAAGAAGAGTAAATCTAAAAATCAAATCAAATAGACAGACGAAACAAGCAGAGAACTTCATCAATCGGAAATTCTAATTTTTTCGCCAATGAATTGAATGTTTAAATGACAAGAGAGCTTACGTACATTTCATATTGTGTTTCAAGTGTTTCTAAACAATGGGTTTGGAGTCAAGGTGTCTGGCAGCATGTGGTTATCTCAGAAGTTAGTATAAACAGATCATGTTCGCGCCGTAAGATCACGTGATCATAGTAGTGATGATTGAACCTTCGAGAGAAAACTATAAGCGCGTGCATTTTTTTAATCTTTACCACATCATCTTTTCTGTTTTTTTTATTTCTTTGTTTTACCTTTTCTCGAAATATAAATGTGTATGTATTCCCTTCGCTTGTTCCTTACGGTTCAAGGAGAATTACCCCCTTGCACAATCACCCCCCTTTGTTTAATTCCTTGTTTTTCTCGCTATCAATTCGATCAATCATTTTTTTGTTGTTTATCCTTATTTCTTACCATATGTAGATCTTTGTTAAGCCGTTATTATTTATTATTATTATTATCATTATTAATCATTCTTCTGGTTTATTCCTTCGTAAATGTGTTTTAATACTTTATGTTTTTCTTAGATTTCTTTCTATCTTTTTATATTTTGTCCTCAATCCTCGTGTATTTCTTTGTTATTTCCTTATGTATTACTCCAATTTTGATTACGGGAGCTTGCCAACCCAGGTATGTGTACATGTATTTAGCTTGCATGCAAACTGAATGTCATAAAATGGAGATCGAGATCGAGGGGTTTTCCAATTCTGGGAATCCCTGAGCGCGCGCACTACATATCAAATTTCAACTGCTTTGTGGACCACGAGGTACATTGGCTGATCGAGATCGCGTTGCTTTTGTTTTTGATAATACTGGTTTATGAAAATGGCGTTTGCGGTCTGTGGCAAAATTTGTAATGTGTAGGGACAGGGTCAACCGATTGGTATTATGAATGAATAAAATAATAATATTTTTTTTTATTATTTGGAGTTACGGATCCTTTATTTATTCTGTTAATTTTCAATTCTCTATCTCTCTTAATTATCTTTGTCTGATATATTTCACTCTTCACTCCCTTCCCTCTTTCTTTTCTGTCCCTGTCACGCTAACGGTAACGGTACCCCTCCGCCTCTTCTCGCCTCTTCTCTCCTCTTCCCTTAATTATTCACGCCTTCCTGAAAATCTCACAACATACACATAATTCTTCTAGAAATAACAGCCGCATTTATCCATAAATTCTAAGATTCTACCCACATATTAGATCTGATATGTACATGTAATGATGAATACTCTCGATTAGACAGAAATAACCGTCTGATATGGGTCATTACTCTTTGATAAATCTTACATTTGTCAACATTCCTCATGCTCATACACAGACGGTGACCCTTACGGCTCGCACGACGGGGGGGGGGGGGGGGGGGGGGGTGAGCCTTTCTTTTCTTCCCGTTTTTCCTTATTTAGATCTAATTTTCCGATCAATAAATCGGACATAAGAAACTATGTATATTTCTTAAAATTCTTACAATTTTAATCAAGTAATTGCAATGGCGAAATTTAGGCGAATTAGATCACGCGTTTATGAATATCAAAATATCACCGGGTCAAGCCGTGCTGACTCGTACGCACATGTAGGTATCGGACGTCCGGAAAAAAAAGAGCATTCATTAACTCAAATCAAGATGGCTGCACAACAAATAATGTTAACGACAAGTCTTTCTCGGATTAAACATAAGCGGAATAGCCGTCGATATTAGAGACTGAAGCTTTCGGTCTAACTCTTGATATACTCTCGGATCTCCTCTGCCATGATATGAGCTATCCCAAACATTCCTCCCCCCTCAAATAAAAAAAAGATGTCGTATCGTGGG